ACTCATACTGCTGGTATGCACTCGTTCTTGTGCCTTTATCTGTCGTGTTCAGAGACTGACACTGCGTGGTAGTGCCCATCATAAGAACAACTCCTCCGACTCCCTCACCGCTCACACAGGCAAAGCGGGCAGTGACACAGCCAGCACACGTATCAGAACTCCCAACGCCGGAACCTTTGAATATCGTTAAACAGAATCCTCCAATGGAACAGTCAAGACGAAACTCGTATGTTCCTTATCATCCGGCCTCGCCAGTAGCAGAGGTTCATCCTGCTCTCCGCGCCGGATCTCCAAACCCCCCATCACCGCCCTCCTCCTCTTCACAAACCATGGCACAACCCAACCGTCGCATCAGCACCGGTCCAATACCTCCTCCGACCCCGACCTCCCCTACATCCGCCCAAATGCCCTCCCCCTTTGCTCCCCCACAGTCTCCGACCACCTACTACCCTCACTCTCCCCCAACCCACTACCCTCCCGGCCCCTCCGCCTTCCACATCCAAACCTCCCCAATATCTCCCTCCAGCCCTCACCATTTTATCTCCACGCACCCTCCCCACCGCCACAACTCTACCAAAGAAGACCCCTACGACTTCCTCCGCCTCTTCGACACCATCTTCCTCATCGACGACTCCCTCTCCATGTCGACCGGCAACCGCTGGTCTCTCACCGCCTCCGCCCTCTCCCGCTTCTCCTCCATCGCCGCGCACTACGACACCGACGGCATCGACATCCACTTCCTCAACTCCCCCATCACCGGCCACAATCTCACCACCTCCGCCGCAGTCCTCGCCCTCTTCAACCGCGTTCACCCCTCCCTCGGCACCCCGATCGGTACAGCCCTAGACCGTATCCTCCGCCCCTATGTCGCACAATACGAATCCATCGCGCTCGCGGAAGCAGGGAAATCTCTCGACCGCCGCCGCCCGAATCTAAAACCTCTGAATGTCGTCGTCATCACGGACGGGGAGGCGACCGATGACCCGGAAAGCGTGATTGTCGATATGGCGCGACGGCTAGAAAGGGCGAATGCGCCGTTGCATCAAGTCGGGATACAGTTTCTGCAGGTGGGCGATGAGGTAGAGGCGAGAGAGGCGTTGAGGGAGCTCGATGATGCGCTCAGTGGGATGTATGGGATTAGGGATATGGTGGATACGACGGTGTGGGAGGAGGGGGAGGGGGGGGAGGTGACTGCGGAGGTGGTGTTGAAGGCGTTGTTGGGGGGGGTGAATAGGAGGTGGGATAGGAAGAGGGTTTGATGTGATGATGTGATGTGATGTGTTATAGGTTATGATTTATGATGGGGTGTAAATGGTGTTTGGGGTGTTTGGGGTGTTTGGGGTGTTTGGGGTGTTTGGGGTGTTTGGGGTGTTTGGGGTGTTTGGGGTGTTTTTTTTTCTTTGGTTGGGATGCAGTTGATACCTATTGGTAACGGGACATAGCAAATAGAAGGTTGTTTGTGAAGCATTGTTTAAGATCGTCTGAAACTCGTCAATATCAACACAATGACGTTACGGATCCCGAAAAGCAGTGTCTGAACGTCTGTCATCTATACAAGTCGGTTATCTCTGTGTAAGATGTCTATTTATCCGCACCCGTTACTCGGTACAAGCAATACCGAGATATCTATGCTACAGACGGCATTTGGAGAGTGACACGCTGGCTGTGGTGGAAGAGAAGAAGGAGGGAGGGCAGGTTTTTTGAGACAGGTGGAGGGGTATTTGGCGGGATGGACTTGTAGCGGTCTCCGGGCCCTTTTATCTTCTTCTTCTATTTTTCTATTTTTCTTTAGGCACGAGAATAAAGCCCCGAATCAGCGGTTTTCCAGTGGGATCATTGTGTTTAATTAGCTATGGCCGTATATGTGGTGCGACGAGTTGAAGCTGGAGAGCTTTGGATCTGCCCAGTGGCATCACGTGAAATGGGCTTTTATGGGCTTTGGACTGGGAGCTATCGAGCCCCCCCCCACTCTTCATCGTCTGTTGTCCATCACCGTCAGTATTCTCTTCAAATATGTGTTACCTGCCGTTCCAAGCCATCTCCTTCGAATCCTGTCCTCCTCACCGACTACTATCCTGCTCGACATCCTCGCCCACTGCTCTCTGAGTCGCCCACCTTTCCATCGGTTTCCACTGTGTGATGGGGGAAACAGTCTTCCCCAGTCTCCGCTTGAAGAAGAACCCAACATTTGGAATCATGATGGGTACCAGTACTTGAACGTTCCAGATTCCAGAGCACCAGTAAAACTGGATTCCATGGCAACGCTGTATGAAGGTACAGAAAATCTAACCACATTGGCAAACACAGAAATGCGAGCTTCCGAATAGTGAACCTCCTGCAGATTCGGCGGCAATGAGTGTCTTTCAAGTGGTGCTCGACGAATGGTCTCTGCGTACAACGCGACAGGCGCATATCTAAGGTACAGACTCGACCAACTAACAGGCACAGAGCGTCTGCTTCGGCTGCCACATCGCCTTACACTAGACGGAATCCAGGTGAATACATATTGCCGGCATACTTCTTGCACGATTATTGTTCACCTGGGATCTTATAAAAACCGGTGAAGCTGCTCTGTGGGGATGAAAAGTCCACCACGTTGCACTCCTACCTGACAACATCTCAGCCGAACACCACATCTTAATCCAACATCAATTACCATAACAATGGCGACCAATGTTCCCGAGGCCGTGGCCAATGATTTGAATCCTGGTCCTGTATGTTGCGAGTACCACCGGGATTGGAAGGGGAACATCCGAGTCCACTAACCACCTTGCTTCTTGCCACAGATCGAGGCTGAAGATGCTGCGACCTCCGACTGGGATGAAGAAAGCATGTACGTTGCTGCTGCCAATCCATCGCGGAATTTAGCGTACTGATGAAAATCTATGGTGAAGCGCAAGCAGCACTCAAAGTCTGACTGAGTCTATACTTGACCATATCTATCAAGGCGGTAGGTATAGTGATCAGTTATTACATCTATAGTCAGAATCATGACCAATTTACAGGTCGCCGCTATCATCGGAAATCAAAGGAGCAGTATTTCCTTCCGTCGGATGATACTGAACAAGATCGGCTGGACATGGTATTTCCCCCATCTCACTACATTTTTGCATCATAAACTGACTGGTTTTTTTGTAGATACATGGTGTGAAGTCCTCCCGTGAATATTCCATCAGTATACGCATAAGCTTATTCGTATTAGAGATGCACCTGGAACTTCTCAACAGAAGACTCACGATGACCAAGCTGACCGAAGATCCCGGAAACGTCCTTGATTGTGGATGTGGAACTGGTATCTGGGCTTTGGTGAGTCTTGAAGCACTTGCACTCCGCCCTCATCTTAACGCCACGACAGGATTTCGGTAATGAGCATCCTGGCTCACAGGTTGTCGGGCTTGACCTCGCACCAATTCAACCGTACGTTAGAGGCCTTGTTTATGTCGAGAAACACAACTAACTAAAACTACAGTGGATGGTAAGAGCCTGTGATGAAAGCTATCTTCACTGTAACCAGCGCCTAGGTTTCAAGACTGACCGCGAATCATCTCTCATGAATAGGACAGCACCCAATGTAAGTATCTGTGGGGTCGCAGATTTGTGCAAAGATGTAAGCCGGTATTGACAGTAGTATAGGTGAAGTTTGAACTTGATGACCTGGAGAAGGAGTGGACTTATGCGCCGGTGAGACTGGTTGTAATCTCCTTTTTTATGATCCTGAGTGAACTAATAGTGACTGCAGAATCACTTCAACTTTATCCATTCGAGGTCTGCTCTATGGATTCTATGAGAGTTGAATACGCATCGCTTACATTTCTTGTTTCACCAGACACCTTGCTGTTTCAATCAAGGACTGGCCGAAATACCTCCGTCAGATGTATTAGTAAGTAGACGGCGGCTCTATTCGACTCGGATAGCCTGTCTAACCAATATTTTACCAGTCATGCCGCTCCTGGCGCAAACATCGAGGTAGTTGGTATGGCCTTCCGATCCGAATATTGGACCTGGGCACTGATATGTCTGAACAGAATACAACATGGACAAGATGCTTTGCGATGACGGAACCATGCCGGAGAACAGCGCATACCACACCTACACCGACGCCCTCCAATCCAGCCTCCAAAAACTCGGCATCGACGGTGGATATCATGCCACTGATTACAAGCGGATGATGCAAGAGGCCGGTTTTGTCGATGTTAACATCTACGCTTTCAAGATCCCGATTGGGATCTGGACTAGGAACCCAAAGTTGAAGAAGTATAACTGCCGGGCTCGAGCCAAGCAATATTATCAAGTTGATTGCTGACGTATGGCTTCGTTGCATGCAGGATTGGGTTCATTTTTTATCACATCGCTACCACAGGTGCCGAGGCTCATGCGTACAGCTTGTTGACGAACGTTGGAGGGTATTCAGTGGAGAATGCGAGGAAGATTATTGATGATGTTGTTGCCACATTTAAGAGGGCGAAGGAGCATGTGTATTATATGGAGTAAGTCGATTCACGTAACCCGCGGCGGGTATTGGAGGAATTGACGAAATGTAGGTACTATATCACAGGGCGGAAACCGAAGTAGGAGGATTGTATATTCTGGCGTGGGTTTTTGGAGTGGTGTGGAGGAAAGGATTGTCATGAACGCGGATGAGGGAAAATGAAGGGTTTCGTGGTGGACTTCCGGTGTTGATGTAGCAGCTGTCCAATTCCACAATTGAGTGGGTGTTCATTTGTTCACGGTGTGACATCGATTGGTGTTTGATGATCCGTCCGGCTGAGAGAACGCGAGGCATTGGCCCCATGTGAGAAGAGCGGAAGTATTGTCGTCGTGGCCGGATGGAGAAGCCGGAAAGAAACGTTGTTGCCATGTTCCCACCAATATCCCACTCCACTTCACCAACCTCTTGAACACCACTCCCAACATTTTCCCCACTACCCACCTCATTATATTCTTCATATGGGCGTTCTGGAAGATAAATGCCATGAACTCCTCAAAAAAAATTCAAAAGAAGGTCTCGGTGGGAATCGAACCCACGTTATCGGAATCAAAATCCGATGTGATAGCCACTACACTACGAAACCAAGTTGCCACATGAAGGTTATATGCATATATCATACAACTGTAATTCCACCACTGATATGGGGAGAAGTGCCAAAAGTACTATCCCCAGCGGTACAAGCTCAGGAAGTCCACCAAGGTAGACCCAACAGCGGCAAAAGCTCGGAAAAAAGTCGCTCTTCAATACTACAGGTTC